CTAGGTACAATGGGGTCTCATTCACCCCAACCAGCGCCGGACACGCCTTCCCGCCGGGACCCTGCAGCCCGGCTGTGGGCGGGCCGGCCGAGGGGCGGGCGCGCCGGCGGCACTCGCGCTGCCATTTTCCCGTCCGCGTCCGCGCCGCCATCTTGTCCTTTTTGCCACCGACTCGGTCAAGAGAGACGCCGGTTAACTCCGCGGCAGCCATCTTTCACGAGAAGCCTGCGCTCCAATACCTGAGCTCAGATCACCGCGTTTCCCATAAACGGAGAAGCGTCTCCGCGCCCCTCACCACCCCAAAGGGAACAGCCATCTTGTACGGCGCCCCGTCACTTCCGGGACTGGCCTGCTGACGTGAAAGGGGCGGGGCGAGCGCACACGTGCGACTCTGTCGCCCTCTGGCGGCCGGGCCGGAGCAGCGGCGTCCGCTCGGACCCGTTGGAGGATTCTGCTTCTGGGTGGACCTGGGCGGGCCCCGGCGGGGAACCGTCGGCTGGGGCGCGGCCAGGGTGGGATGGGAGCCTGCGCACTGAGCGGAGGAGAAGCTGGGAGAGAAACCCATGTTTGTTAAGGGCCTGTTCAAGTCTCCACCACGCGGGGAGGCACATATTGTTATCATTTAGGCAGGCCAGCCCTCCTCGCCCACTCAGCTAAACCCTGGCAGAGATGGGATTAATAGAAGAACCCCCTCCCTGATTTCTGTAAAATCTGGGAGATTTGCAGCGAGGATTGAGATTTCAGGTTACAGTGCCAGGTTGTTAATTACATTAATTTCTTCTCCAAAGAAGCCACACTGCCAGTCTGGTACCCAACTTGTGGCTGGTGATGGGTTGCCATGGTGATGGTGTCTCTGGTACCTCCTGGCTGTCAGCTGTCTCAGCCAGTACCATGCCTGCCTGCTGAGGTCGGGCAGTCCCAGTTACAAGATCTGTATCTCAGGAGTCTGACAGCTTGGCCTCCGCTAAAAGGTTGCTATTTGTTAGGGTCTTCCTTCATAAGAAGGAGAGGGACTATAAAATGTCTTTTGTATTCACACATCCAAGATCCTTAGCACCAATTTCTTTCCTTCTTTTTTATAGCAAAGGTGGAGATTTATTGAAGAACAAGTACAGACTCCCACATAGGGAGAAGGAAAGAGTCCCACAGAATGGACTCCCCATAACACCAATTTCTTAAATAAGAAGTTGCAAACAGTGATTTGAGGAATCCAGATAACATTACCTGCTTCAATCCATCAATCAGGCCACCTTCAATTTCATCAGAAAAGTCTCCTGTTTCTGGAAATTGAATGCATTCCATCCAGGTCTTCAGGAGACCTTTTCTTTTTTCTTTTTTTAAAATATATTTTATTGATTTTTTTACAGAGAGAAAGGGAGAAAGATAGAGAATTAGAAACATCGATGAGAGAGAAACATCGACCAGCTGCATCAGATGCCTACTGGGGAAGTGCCTGAAACCAAGGTACATACCCTTGACCAGAATCAAACCTGGGACCCTTCAGTCTGCAGACTGATTCTCTATCCACTGAGCCAAATCCATTATGGCTTCAGGAAACCTTTTCATTAAAGTGCAAAAATACCTTCATATCTGTTAACAGTTTCCACACTGGTTATTAGCACTTCAACCGTGCTATGTTTAAAAATTCATTAAAGGCAAGTATGAGCCACACAATTTTCACCATTGTCACAATCCTGGGTGAGAAATCCAGGTTCTAAGGGAGATTCTGTTTCTGCCTTTGGGAAATACACCAAGTTTGTTAACCTAGGTGTACAAATGGAAGAAACGAAGTAAGGAAATGTATTTTTTCTGCGGCTAACATTTTAATTCTACAATATTATCCTTAAAGTTATGAATGACATTAGACAACACAAACCAAAAACAAATGGGAACATTATGCCTTTGCATTTTATCCACATAATATGTATAATTGATGCTAATGCTTTATGCAATTGTCTTCTCCCCCCCCTCCCCCGACTTGAGAGAGAGGGAGAAACAAGAATGTATAAGAGAAACATTGATCTGTGCCTCTCCTTTGCCCCTCCTCCCCCTCATCTCTATTCATTGGACGATGCTCAGCAGTTGTCTTTTAAATCATGTAGAAGGGAAAAAAGAGCTACAAACAAAAGTACATTTATGTTGTCTTTTGGATTTATCTAAGTAGTTGCATATATTTGTGCTTTTTATTTTTTCACTAGAGGCCCAGTGCATTGATTTGCACACCGGTGGGATCCCTCAGCCTGGCCTGCGCCCTCTTATAATCTGGGATCCCTGGAGGGATTTTTGACTGCTGGTTTCAGCCCAATCCCCAAGAGATGTAGCAGTGCTTGAAGCGGCAGGCACCCTGGCTGGGCACCACACCCACTTATCCCTGCCTCACTGTGCCTGCTCCGCTGCTGCTCAGTAGCTGTTCCGTAGAGTTTCTCCACCACCGCAGCTGCCGCGCTAGCCAGCCCTGAACCCTGCGTCTGGTGCCCAATGGTCAGTTGAGCGGCGCTCCCTCTGTGGGAGTGCACTGACCACCAGGGGGCAGCTCCTGCCCTGAGTGTCTGCCCCCTGGTGGTCAGTGTGCTTCATAGTGCCTGGTCAGTCAACTGGTTGAGCAGTCAACCGGTGTGATGTGTAATTGAGTTACTGTGTAGTCATTTCATTTTAGCCTGAAAGATTCCCTTTTGCATTTCTTATAGTGCAGGTCTGCTAGTAATACATCCTCTCAATTTTTGTTTATCTGGGAAAGTCTTAATTTCACTCTTATTTTTATTCTATTATTATGCTATGCTACATTAATTTATTTTGGATGTTAAACCAACCTCACATTCTTGGGAAAAAGCCCACTTGACCATTCTGTATAATTATGTTTAAATGTTGCTGGATTCTCTTTGCTAATATGTGGTTGGGAACATCTATTAATACATACATTTTTTTAAAATTAAATTTATTGGTCAACATGAACATATAGGTTTCAGGTGTTGATTTCTCTCTCTCTCTCTTTTTTTTAATATTTTATTGATTCTTTACAGAGAGGAAGGGAGAGAGAAATAGAGAGCTAGAAACATCAATGAGAGAAACATCGATCAGCCGCCTTCTACACACCCCCCCCCTCTGGGGACGTGCCCGCAACCAATGCACATGCCCTTGACTGGAATCGAACCCGGGACCCCCAGTCCGCAGGCCAACGTTCTATCCACTGAGCTAAACCGGCTTTGGCTCAGGTGTTGATTTCTATGTTATAAGATCTATATATTGCACTGTGTGCCCACCACCCAAAATTAAATCTTCCCCTCTCACCATATATTAGGACTCCCTGTACCCTCCAATACATACATATTCATAAAATATATTGGTCTGTAGTTTTCTCTCTTTTGTAAAATGTTTTTATTGGTTTTATTTATTTTTTAAAATATATTTTATTGATTTTTTACAGAGAGGAAGGGAGAGAGAGAGTTAGAAACATCGATGAGAGAGAAACATCTATCAGCCGCCTCCTGCACACCCCCCAGCGGGGATGTGCCCACAACCAAGGTACATGCCCTTGAGCGAAACCGAACTCGGGACTTTTCAGTCCACAGGCCGATGCTCTATCCACTGAGCAAACCGGTCTCCGCTGTTTTTATTTATTTTTTATTTTATGTTTTTTTAAATACATATTTTATTTATTTTTTACAGAGAGGAAGAGAGAGGGACAGAGTTAGAAACATCGATGAGAGAATCATCGATCAGCTGCCTCCTGCACACCCCCCAGTGAAATTAAGATGTGCCCGCAACCAAGGTACATGCCCTTGACCGGAATCGAACCTGGGAACTTTCAGTTCGTGGTCTGATGCTCTATCCACTGAGCCAAACTGGTCTCGGCTGTTTTTATTGGTTTTAGAGAAAGAGGAAGATTTGGTCAAGGGCATGTACCTTGGTTCTGGGCACGTCCCCAGTTGGGGGTGTGCAGGAGGAAGCTGGTGGATGTTTCTCTCTCCGCGATGTTTCTAACTCTCTATCCCTCTCCCTTCCTCTCTGTAGAAAATCAATAAAGTGTATTAAAAAAAAAAAAAAGAAGAGTAATTCCAGGGATGTTTCTGAAGGCTTCGATGATAGCAAGCTCCTCCTTGTAGATGATGCAAAGTTCCCTGTGCTGGATACAAAGATGGTTTCTCCTTTTGCTCCTGTTAGTTCTTATTTTTTGAGAGGCTGCTTGTTTGCACCAACTAAAACCAACCATTGGCACCGCAGAGTGAACACAACACAGAAGTGATATGCCATCTGTTCTGCCCAGGCTGCCTCAGGCTTACCAGCACTGGTCATGTCAAAAGGTCACCCGTAGCCCAGCCCGTGTGGTTCAGTGGTTGAGCATTGACCCAGGAACTATGAGGTCACCAGTTCAATTTACAGTCAGAGCACATGCCCAGATTGCAGGCTCGACCCCTAGAAGGAGGCACGGAGGAAGCAGCTAATCGATGATGTTTCTCTCTCATCGATGTTTTTTCTTTCTTTCTTTCAGATTTAAAAAAAAATATATTTTATTGATTTTTTACAGAAAGGAAGAGAGAGGGATAGAGAGTTAGAAACATCGATGAAAGAGAATCGTTGATCAGCTGCCTCTTGCACAACCCCTACTGGGGATGTGCCCGCAACCATGGATGTTAACCTTGATCACGTGGTTCATGGGGCGGCTGCCAGGATTTTCCAATGTAAACTCACCCCTTTGTAATTACTCAGATCCTGAGACTGTGCAGACACCCTGTTTCTGCTTAAACTTCTGCCTAGGCTCTTACTTCCTCCGTTTGAGTTAAGTTTTACTGTCTCGAGGAGCAGAAAGGCCAGGCTGACTGCAGGGGAAGGATGGTGAGAGAGAGTGGATCGGCTGTGGCTAGTTCCCCTAAGAATGGAATAACTGCGGGGCCGTGCAGTCAGGCGCCCGGGGCCGCCCGTTGCCCTGGAGACGGGGTCCTTCCCTCCGCTGTGCCGCCAGCGCGTGGCGCCAGCCCGCGCCCAATGAGCGGCTGCGCGGTGGCCGGAGGCGGGGCGGCGGCGCGCGCGCGGCCTGCAGCTCCGCTCGGTCTCTGCCATGGAGGTCCCTGCCTCCCGGCTGCTCGTGCTCCTCCTGCTCGGGGCCTGCGCCCCGGCGCCCGGCCGCACCTCTCCCGATGCGCCGCCGCTGGTCAACGAGGACGTGAAGCGCACGGTGGACCTGAGCAGCCACCTGGCCAAGGTGACGGCCGAGGTGGTCCTGGCGCACCCGGGCGGCGGCTCCACGGCCCGCGCCACCTCCTTCCTGCTGGCCCTAGAGCCGGAGCTCGAGGCCCGGCTGGCGCACCTCGGCGCGCAGGTGAGCGGGGCGGGCCCTCGCCCCTCGGAGCATTGGTCGGTGGACTCCGCGCCGCTCTCGGCCTCGGGAGAAGCGGGCCCGGGCGTGGGGGGCGGTGGCGCCGGGCGACGGACACGTCAGCGTTAGCCCGCCCGGCGGCGCGGCTCGCGGCCGCTCGGCGGCCTCCCTTCGGCGGCCCCCGCGGCCGGCGCCGGGGAGCGCGGGCCGGGCGACCCCCCTCGCCGGTCAGACACAGACAGCAGCCCCCGGGGAGGGCATGTTCGGCTGCCGCTGCGCACCGGACTGGCTCTGCGATCCTCACGACCCAGTGCAGGAGTCCGACCGGAGCACGAATGAATGAGTTAAAATTTAATGTCTTTAGTTCAGTATCTGGCTCTATGTGGGCAGGGCTTCTTTCTAGATACCATTGAATACAACCAAAAAAGTCAGGGGTAGGTTCCGTGTTTAACTTTGTAATCGTTTGAAACCGTTGTTAATGTGACACGCTTCATAAGGTTGCTGTTGAAGGCTTTTTAATTAAAATTTTATTCTTAAGTTTTTAAAAAATATTTTACAGAGAGGAAGAGAAAGGGTTAGAGAGTTAGAAACATCGATGAGAGAATCATCGATCAGCTGCCTCCTGCACACCCCTCACCAGGGGATGTGCCCACAACCAAGATACATTCCCTTGACCGGAATCTAACCTGGGACCCTTCAGTCCACTGAGCCAAACCGGTTTTGGCAAGTTTTAAAAATCATGCAAATACTATAAGCCCATTTAAACTGTACAGAAAGGCAAAGTCCAGTTCTCTACCTTCCCTTTCTGGTTCCCATTCACACTTGCAGTTCACAAGTCTGCTTGTGTACTTCCCAGGTATTTCACCGTACACTTTTAAGACTCTCAAGGAAAGGAAATGTTGGCTTTGGGGATATACAGCTACAGAGCTTTGCTTTTTTTTTTTTTTTAAGATTAAAAAAAAAAATCCTCACCCGAGGATATGTTTATTAATTTTAGACAGAGAGGAGGGGGGGGGGAGGGCAGAGAATGAGAAAGAGAGAAACGTCAATGAGAGAGACATGGATTGGTTGCCTCCTGCAGGCGCCCTGACGGGACCAAACCTGAAACCTTCCGTGTATGGGAGGATGCTCCAACCAACCGAGCCACAGTGGCCAGGGCCGGAGCTTTGCTTTTTATTGCTGTTTTCATTAGACAGCAGCAATCCATTAAGTGATTACCCAGTTATTAAGAGTCATTACGGAATCATATTTCTTCTAAGCACACCTTACTTTCTGACTGAATCTGGAGCTATAAACTGGACTTTACGGAGGTTATACTTTTTAAAAAATATATATATATATATTATTGATTTTTCACAGAGAGGAAGAGAGAGGGACAGATAGAAACATCGATGAGAGAGATACATCAATCAGCTGCCTCTTGCACAACCCCTACTGGGGATGTGCCCGCAACCCATGTACATGCCCTTGACTGGAATCGAACCTGGGACCCTTCAGTCCGCAAGCCGATGCTCTATCCACTGAGCCAAATCAGTATCGACATGGAGATTATACTTCTGAAACGACGACTCCTATTCACATTGTCTATCGTGAGCATTTGCTCATTTCTACTCAGGTTTGTGGAAAGATAGTTTAACACTTCATTTAAATATGTGCTGCCACCTTTAAATTGTTACTGAAACCAGAATTCAATCTGTAAAAAGTTCTGGTAGTTTTAATATTTTAGTGAACATTCTGAGGCTGTTGGTTAATTGCTGACTCAAAATTTAGAGGCCAAAAGACATAGAAAGGAATGACTTTTTTTGGTCTTTTTATAGGTGAAGGGAGAAGATGAGGAAGAGAACCATCTGGAAGTACGAGAAACAAAAATTAAGGGTAAAAGGTAAGCTAATAGTCAGCATATCTATATCTGTATTTGCCTCTTGTTATAATTTATCCTGTCAGCATTAGAATCATAAGATAGAAGGTTCGCTTAGAAAATACCTGGCATATTAAAAGCTGCTTCAATTAATATAGTGTGTGGTAGCAAACAACAGACTCTAACATATTTTGATATCTTTTCTGATAACTTGCTAAAATTAGATTCCCCTAACAGTGGCAGTTTATTTTACAAGAGGAAAGCAGTTGTTTTCTATCCCAGGTCTCTCATCTATGTAGCCCTAGGGATCCCGATCCAATAGATGAGAACTCCAAGCTGTTTGTCTCAGCACATATCCTCTCATCAATGGCTAGCTACTATCCTGTTTTCCAGGGCAGACAGCACCCTCACTTTCAAGACTTCGGGGCATGGAAAGTGATGCCTCTTTGCAGGAAGTAGACTGAGCTATTTAAATGCTGGGGTTGGCCTAGTTCTCAGCTTTAACTTCAGGGGACTTGCACTTATTAGTTATTTATATTAAAACATTTTATTAAGGAGCCTGCAACCGAGTTTCGTGCTCTTGACCAGAATTGAACCCAGGACCCTTCAGTCTGAAGGGTTGACAATCTAACCATTGAGAACCGACTAAGAGGATACTTTTACTTTTTAAAATATATTTTTATTGACTTCAGAGAAGAAGGGAGAGGGAGAGAAACATCAATGATGAGAATCATTGATTGGCTGCCTTCTGCATTCCCCCTACTGGGGATTGAGCCCACAACCCAGGCATGTACCCTTGACCAGAATCAAACCTGGGACCTTTCAGTCTGCAGGCCGATGCTCTATCCACTGGGCAAACTGGCTAGTGCAATTTTTATTGATTTTTAGAGAGAGAGGAAGAAAGAGAGAAACATTGTTGTGCGAGAAAGATGTCGATTGGGAGTTATATGCTCTGACTAGAGAACCCCCAAACCTGGTATGTGTCCTGAACAAAAATTGAACCTGTGACCCTGCATTGCACAGGATGACACTTCAATCAACTGAGACACAGTGGCCAGAATGAGGATTTATTTTTTTTCATTGATTTTAGAGAGAGAGAGAGAAAAAAAAAACATCCATTGGTTGCCTTCTGTATATGCCCTGACTAGGATTCAAACCCTAAACCCAGGTTATGTGCCCTAACTAGGAATTGAACCCGTAAACTTTTGGTGTATGGGACTATTTAACTAACTGGGCCAGCCTGCCAGGGCAAGAAAAAAATCTTGGTTCATCTTCTATATATATAAAAGCCTAAGCGACCAGTTGACTGGTCTCTGATACACACTGACCACCAAGTGACATGCTCAATGCAGGAGCTACCCCTTGTGGCCAGTGTGCTCCCACAGCGGGAGTGCTGTTCAGCTAACCAGTGGGCGCCAGACGCTGGGCTCATGGCTGGTGAGACAGCTGTAGCCTGTGAGCCTCTCCCACCTCTGTGGCAGCGCAATATTAATAGAGGTGGGAAATTAGGATCATGAATGGTATTAGATATTGGATATTTTGAATTGCTTGTGGGGTAGTCAGTGGAATTGTCTAGTAATGAACATTTGAAAATTTGAGTTTAGATCTCAGGACAGAGAATGGGACAAGAAGCAGAATTGGGACTTGAAACCAAGAATTGGTTAAGACTGTTTCTAGTAGGGCTTATTATATTTTGAGTAGGTACTTTAGAGTAGTGTTATGAAGTATAAAGATGTGCCTGGTGAAGACCTTTAAGGACTCTAAATACCATGGCAGCATGTTAAAAAGTCTTCAGTTTTCCACAAATGGTTTCTGGGTCTGTAAGGAATTAGTCTCATAGCATAATAAATTCATTAATTTTTTGAGTTAATTATCTATATGAATTATAGTAGTTTTCAGGCATCTCTTTTTCTTTAAAATGCTAACAGCTTTATTTCCTTCTGGTTATGAGAGTATAAGCTCATTATGAAACAAATTGGAAAAACAACAAAATGAAGCTTATCTTCCTATCCTGAGACGGTTACCATTGTGTGGAACATTCATTGAGACACTTTCTTCACATACATTTGTATATATGTATGTTTTTAAAAGGAATCACTCTGTTTCTTTTTCTTTTTCTTTTAAAAAAAATATTTTATTGAGTTTTTACAGAGAGGAAAGGTGAGGGATAGAGAGTTAGAAACATTGATAAGAGAGAAAAATCGATCAGCTGCCTCCTGCAGGGCCTCCCACCCGGGGATGTGCCTGCAACCAGGGTACATGCCCTTGACCGGAATCGAAACGGACCTTTCAGTCTGCAGGCCAACGCTCCATCCACCGAGCCAAACCTGTTGCAGCAACACACTGTTTCTTTTGTAAACTAATTTGTTATTTACATTGTACATGGATATGTTTAATATAGATCTAAGTATCTTCTTTAGTGGCTGCCAAAATCCTATTGTGTGGCCCTCTACTAGAATTTTTTAAACTGTTATTCTATTGTTGGACATTTATGTTGTTTTATACTCTTTTTCTATTATAAACAATCTTGAGATGAATATCCAGATATTTATCTTAAAAGGTTTTAATTAATAGGTAAAGGTGATGTCTTAAATATAACTGCTTTTATCTTTTTGTTGTTATTTTCTCTCTTTATTATCTAAAGTTTTACATGTCTCCTTTTCCCCAATGATCCCAGTCATTCCCAGTCAGGGCAAGCCCCTACTGCCCCAGTGTCTGTGTCCATTGGTTATGCTAATATGCATGCATACAAGTCCTTTGGTTGCTCTCTAACTCCCTCCCGCCCCATTTGTCTCTGGATCTATTCTTGTTCATCAAATTATGTTGATCATTATATCCTACATATGAGTGAGATCATGTGATATTTATCTTTCTCCAACTGGCTTATTTTGTGCTTTTATCTTGGGTACAAAATTTTGCTGTGACTGAGTTCCTAGCTGTTTTTTATTTCCTTAATTCTCTTGCCTCATTTTTCCTGCAGTGGTAGATTCTTCATGGTCAAGTTACCAGTTGCTCTTGATCCTGGGATGAAGATTTCAGTTATTTTGGAAACAGTCTATACACATGTGCTTCAGCCATATCCAACCCAGATCACTCAATCAGAGAAACAGTTTGTGGTGTTTGAGGGCAACCATTATTTCTACTCCCCCTATCCCACAAAGACACAAACTATGCGTGTGAAGCTTGCCTCTCGAAATGTGGAGAGCTACACCAAGTTGGGAAACCCCACGCGATCTGAGGACCTCCTGGATTATGGACCTTTCAGAGATATCCCTGCCTATAGTCAGGTAGGCTCAAAGGAGTCTTATTCATCCCTGTCTACTTCAGAGGTCTTCTGGAGCGGCAACTAGTTAGTTGATAGGATTGGGTGGTGTAGAGTAGGTGGAAATCCAAGATCAGTTTTTTAACCTGCTGTGGAATGACTCCATGGGGTCATTGTTCTTTTGGGAGTACAGATAGAGGCTGTGAGTTTAGGAAGAATTTTATTTATTTATAATTAAAAAAATGTTATGGTTGAAAGTATAAATATGTCCTAGGAACACTTTTTAAAGCAGATAGCATTTGGAGAGTTGGAGTAGAAGTTGGGGGAGAAGGAAACAAGGCATTCTAGGCAGAGGCAATAAGAAGGTCAAAGGCCCTAGTTGGTTTGGTTCAGTGGTTAGAGTGTTAGCCTGCAGATTGAAGGATCCCAGGTTTGATAATCGGTCAAGGGTACATGCCTGGGTAGCAGGATTAATTCCCAGTAAGGGGCATGCAGGAGGCAGCCAATCAATGATTCTCTCTCATTGATGTTTCTATCTCCCTCTCCTGTCCTCTCTGAAATCAATAAAAATCATTCTGTTGCTTATATGTAGCTTCTAATTAGTTTGATTTGAACTTTTAATTACTTGTTTTCTTCTACAGGATACTTTTAAAGTACATTATGAGAACAACAGCCCTTTTCTTACTATCACCAGCATGACCCGAGTCATCGAGGTCTCTCACTGGGGTAATATTGCTGTGGAAGAAAATGTGGACTTGAAGCACACAGGGGCTGTGCTTAAGGGACCTTTTTCACGCTATGATTACCAGAGGCAACCCGATAGTGGTATATCCTCCATCCGTTCTTTTAAGGTATGGAGTGTTAAGCTTGGACATTGGTAAAAACTATGACTTTATTAAATATATTTGTTCTTTCGTTTACTTTTTGAAAATAGCTAAATATGGGCAGTTGTTTAAGATTAATTGCTGTTTCTGTGGTTGGATGACAGGGTTAGAACCAAGAGGAAGAATCCTTAAAAAAAATGCCCTCATTACCTTAGCCTGTTTGGCTCAGTGGATAGAATGTCAGTCCATGGACTAAAAGGTCCTGGGTACAATTTCTGTCAAGGGTACATGCCTGGGTTACAGGCTTGACTCCTAGTATGGGCGTGCAGGAGGCAACCAATCAATGATTCTCTTACCATTGATATTTCTATCTCTCTTTCCCCTCTCCCTTCATCTCTGAAATACAATTTAAAAAAATGTGTATATGTATACATATATATAAGAAAAATATATAGTGGTACATATACAAGAAAAAATATACTATTCACATATGCATATAAAAAGGCCCTCATTTATATAACTAGATCATTTTTTTAAAGAAAATTTAAGTAATAGAAAAAGGAAAAAATAATTCCACCCTTCATAATTAAAATTGCTGACATTTTAATATTTTTTCTTTTACACTTTTAAAAAAAGCAATTGATCATACTTTATATATAGTTTATCTTTTTTGCCTTATAAATGAAATCTTATAAGCATTTTCATGTACTTACATATTATAGAAGGGTTTGCTGTATGAAAAATATATTACATTTTCCCCCCTGATTATCAAAATATACTTCCAGATTTGGAAGCTACAATAAAGAATATATATTATGTGGAGAAAACCTTTCTATAACTTTGTCTGTCACTAGTTATTTGATGTAATTTCTTCCATCTTTAGTTTCTCTCTGTAAAATAACTTTCAGGTTGTTTTTACCTTTGTTCTTATTTGCAAAGGTAATTATGATTCTCTTTATTATTTGCTTGTAGAAGAATTTGACTATCGACCTTTTTGAGAAGTAGATTTAATATCTAGACATTTTGAAGCCTTGGGGGAAAAGTTAGCCTCTAGATTGTTTACAGTTTGGGGGTTATTTTAATCGAGTAGTACTAGGATGAAGATTTTGGTGCAGAAGTATTTTCTCTATTTAGATTAATTCCTCTGAAAAATGTATGTTCATTTTCTTGCAGACCATTCTTCCCGCTGCTGCCCAGGATGTTTATTACCGGGATGAGATTGGCAATGTTTCCACCAGCCACCTCCTTATTTTAGATGACTCTGTAGAGATGGAAATCCGGCCTCGTTTCCCTCTTTTTGGAGGGTGGAAGACCCATTACATCGTTGGCTACAACCTCCCAAGCTATGAGTACCTCTATAATTTGGGTCAGTCTTAGTAAGGGAGTAGAAAATGGAGACACCATCTTTTTCTTTAATTTTTTGCATTTATTATTTAAAAATGCATTTTTATTGATTTCGGAGAGGAAGGAAAAGAGAGAGAGAGATAGAAATATCAATGATGAGAGAGAATTATTGATTGGCTGCCTCCTGCACACCCCCTTCTATGGATCGAACCCACAACATGAGCATGTGCCCTTGACCGGAATCGAACCTGGGACTCTCCAGTCTGCAGTCCAAAGCTCTATCCACTGAGCCCTCCAGCCAGGGCGTCTTGCAGTTATTATTTCACAATTGCCAGTTCTTCTAGATGGGGAGAAAGAATATTTTTTTTATCATTCTTAAAAAGGCTGAGGTATTATGCCTGGCTCAGTGGGGGTTGAATCTTTGCCAGTCTTCAGTATTTGGCATTTTCTCTTGAATCAATCTTTCTTTCTTTCTTTCTTTTCTTCTCTTTTCTCTTCTTTCTTTCTCTCTCTCTCTCTCTCTCTCTCTCTCTCTCTCTCTCTCTCTCTTTCTTTCTTTCTTTTCAATATATTTTACTGATTTTGTACAGAGAGGAAGGGAGAGAGATAGAGAGCTAGAAACATCGATGAGAGAGTCATCAATCAGCTGCCTCCTGCACACCCCTTACCGGGAATATGCCCACAACCAAGGTACATGCCCTTGACCGGAATCGAACCCGGGTCCCTTTGGTCCCCAAGCTGACGCTCTGTTCATTGAGCCAAACCGGTCTCGGCGAATCTTTTCTTCATTTAAAGCTTTTCTTCTGCTGAAGCCGGTTTGGCTCAGTGGTGGAGCGTTGGTCTGCGGACTTAAAGGTCCCAGGTTCGATTCTGGTCAAGGGCATGTACATTGGTTGTGGGCACATCCCCAGTAGAGGGTGTGCAGGAGGCAGCTGGTCGATGTTTCTCTCTCATCGACGTTTCTGGCTCTCTATCTCTCTCCCTTCCTCTCTAAAAAATCAATAAAATATATTAAAAAAATAAATAAATAAAGCTTTTCTTCTTGCCTTAGCTGGTTTGGCTCAGTGGATAGAATGTCAGCCTGCAGACTGAGAGGTCCTGGGTTCGATTCTGGTCAGGGACACATGCCCAGGTTGTGGGCTCATCCCCAGTAGGGGGCGTGCAGGAGGCAGCCAATCAATGATTCTCATCATTGATGTTTCCTTCCTCTAAAATCAATAAAAATACATTAAAAAATAAAACTTCTTTTTACCTTTTTATTATTATAAGGCATTATCTGTTTATTCATTCACATTCCTTTTAAGTTAGCCTTCATTTATAAAATGATTTTTTTCTTTTATTTCTAAAATTTTTTCTGAATTCTGAAACTTTTCTGAATTTTTTTTCTGAATAAGTTTGATTTATATTGCTTTTTCATAACTTGTGTCATTTTCATAATACCCGTGACCGGAATTGAACCTGGGACTTTTCAGTCCGCAGGCCAACACTCTATCCATCGAGCCAAACCGGCTAGAGCCTGTTGCTCATTTTTAACGTGAACTTCTAGGAGGAATAATTGTAGCTGCCCAATTCTCTGTTGTTTTAGTGTAGTATTAAAAAATATGGTGGCTTGCTTTCTGAGCTGTCTCTGGCTTTGTTTTCCTAAAGCTCTGTTGTTCCCGTTATGCTTTTTATTCTACCCCAGTTTTTCATCCGTGTAGAGTGCTGTCCTGGAAGGGGAGCTCTGGTGGACTTTTCAAAGTGCTCAGGGACTAGACTGCTCTAGACTTACAAACGTCCTGCGGCCCCTTTTACTTACCCGCCGTGCAGGGTGAGGACTCTGGAGCTTTAGTTGCCCTTCTCCAGCTGGCCTGCCATTCTCTCAAGTGAACCCTATTGTCTGTCAGGGGCTCTTTTCTCAGGTCTATCGGTTGCCCTGTTGCTTCCTTCTGCTTGAGCATTTACAGACACTAATAATGTGTAGGTCGTGTGGCTGTTGGTGTTTTGTGGACTACACCCCTTGTATTTTGGAGCTTTGGAGATGTCATATTACCTAGTTTTGTTTTGAACATGGTCCATGGGTTTTTTATTTTGTTATGTAGTGCTATGTCTTTATGTGGAAATTGGGGAAGATCCAAAATCTATGCTGCTGCCACCATCTCTGTCTTCCAGAGGCTCCTAGTGCATTAACTTCAGATAGTATCTTTACTCCTCTCTGTGTGAGGTGGGATGTACTCCCCCTGTCTCCTGTCCTATTTTCTCAATTTTTCACATCATTGCATGTGTTTGCTTGATCCTTCAGGTGACCAATATGCACTGAAAATGAGGTTTGTGGACCATGTATTTGATGAGCAAGTGATAGATTCTCTGACTGTGAAGATCATCTTGCCCGAAGGAGCCAGGTGAGTGTGACTGCTCCTTTCCTCTGTTCCCATTTCTCTGGTGGTTCCCTTGGTTACTCAAAGAAATTCTGTGTGGAAGAGGCAGTATTTACAATAGTTTAAAGTGCTCAGTATATAGTTTAAAATTGATTTTAGAGAGGAAGGGGGAGGGGAGAGAAAGAAAAAAAAAAAATCATTGATTTAAGAGAATCATTGATTGGCTGCCTCCCACACTGAGAATTGAGTCCACAACCCAGGCATGTGCCCTGACCGGAATCGAACTGTGACCTCCTGGTTTATAGCTCATCGAACTGTGACCTCCTGGTTTATAGCTCAACCACTGAGCCATGCCAGCTGGGTGTCAGTATATAGCTTTGACAGATCCTGCAGGGATCTTTTAACTGGAGTTTAAATAGAAAAGTTAGATTCAGATGAGGGAATAAGATTTATTTAGGAAATACTCCTCAAATACAGTGCTTTTGTGTGACAGGAGCAGTATCCTAAGTAAAGTCACCTTAGGAGGCCACAGTGATGGCCTGAATTTGATGGGATGATCTGCAGTAGGAAATAACTCCGAGTCAGGACAGTCAGGCAGCCCTTGTGCTATATTAGTGGAATGAAGAGCCCTGGCTGGTTTGACTCAGTGGATAGAGCACCAGCCTGCAGACTGAAGGGTCCTAGAGTCCATTTCAGTCAAGGGCACATACTGGGTGGCAGGTTCGATCCCCAGTAGGGGGCGTGCAGGAGGCAGCAAATTGATGATTCTCATCATTTTTTAAAAATATATTTTATTGATTTTTTACAGAGAGGAAGGGAGAGAGATAGAGAGCCAGAAACGTCGATGAGAGAGAAACATCGACCAGCTGCCTCCTGCACACCCCCCACTGGGGATGTGCCTGCAACCAACGTACATGCCCTTGACTGGAATCGAACCCAGGACCTTTCAGTATGCAGACCGACACTCTACCACTGAGCCAAACCGGTTTCGGCTGATTCTCATTGATATTTATCTCTCTCCCTCTCCCTTCCTCTCTAAAGTAAAAAAAAAAAAAAAAAAAAAAAGAAGAATGAAGAAGGATAATGGAGCAGTGCCTCCATTTTATCCTGGGTTCTATAGACCAGGTTTAGAAAGGTGGGCATGGGAGGGAGAGGAGAGAATCTCAAATGGTGTATTAGGGTTCTGTGGTTACAAGCTGTAGTAATTGGTCAATTTAAATGGAAAGAAATGAACTTGGAAGAGTAAGAGAAATCCTAAAATGACAGCATAGGCTGAGGAAAGCCAGAGCCAGAGCATCTCCAGGACTCCAGTTGGCTGAAAATGATGGACACACACGGGCACCTGCCCTTGGTGTGAGCCACAAATACCTGTTTGTCATTTTAATCTTGATTCATTTTAAAAGGAAACATCTACTTGGCCTCCTTCAGTTATCACCGGAAGGAGAGGCACCTTGATTGATCTTCCTGTGGAAGGCATTCAGTTGAGGAATGGGTAGTTCCTCCAAGTAAAACTAGAGTGCTGTTGACTGGGAGAAGGGAGAATGAGTCTGTGCAGGCAAAAACAGGACATGTCCAGCTGTACCCTATAACAAAGTTTCAGGCTGTGAAGAGACAGAACATTTGAAGTAACTTTTCAGGAGCCTCTTCAAGACCCTGAGAGGCTCTTGTTGGGTAGAATGCACACAAAGTTCTGAGAGCTGTGTGAATCCAAGGGGTAGGCCAGTACTGGTGAGCCTTATGAGTGCAGGTTGCAGGGAGACAGACAGTTGTTGCCTCAGCAACATACTCAGGATTCTGGCAGTGGGTCAGGTGGTCAGATGTTCCTGGTGCTGGAAGGGGAGCATAGTGGAGTGTGAACTTAATGACTTTGAAAGCCGCCTGGATTGAGCCTTGGAATTTTCCAATTCTAAATAAGCCTAGTTGGTCAGTGCAGTTTGTCTGAGGCTATATTTTATTCCCATCTGCCTCCAGGAACATCCAGGTTGACAGTCCCTATGAAATCAGCCGTGCCCCAGATGAGCTGCACTACACCTACCTGGACACATTTGGCCGCCCTGTGATTGTTGCCTACAAAAAAAATCTGGTAGAACAGCACATTCAGGACATTGTGGTACGTGACTCCACTGTTCTGTCTCCCATGCCTCCATTCACAGAGAGTGGGTGGTGGGGGCCAGGTCTTACCCCTCTTTCCCTCCTTGGGCTGGAGTGGTTTGAACACAACATCCTCAGGGGTAGGGCTGGGCAGGTGGGGTGGGGCAGCCTGGATGATGGTTGGCTAGGTGAAGCCCTTTGGCTCCCAGGTTTCCGAGTCCATGAAAGCCTGTCAAAGCCCATCTTCTTGCTTCTCCCCCAGGTGCACTACACATTCAACAAGGTGCTCATGCTGCAGGAGCCCCTGCTGGTAGTGGCTGCTTTCTACATCTTGTTCTTCACAGTCATCATCTATGTCAGATTGGATTTTTCTATCACAAAGGTACCCTTGTGTTTTTCTTCTTGTCAGTTTGTCATGTTGCACCCTTGATAATGTGTTTCACTAGCCTTACTGAGCATTGGTCGTCACAGTAGACCAAGGTAACTCCTTGTGGCCCAGAAGATTCTCTGCTGCCTGTGGCTTCTGCTAATCCTTTCTGTAAAGATACCTTGTCTTTGTAGCTGTGATCATGGAGCACGCATGGGTTGCTAATGGTGGGTGAGTACTGTGGGAACAGGGCAGCAGGCATAATGTGTACTTTTGAGGGCCCGAAAAGGGTACCTTGAGTAGGTGAGGTGCAGAAAAGGTGGGAAGGGCATTCAGCCAGAGAGAACAGTTTGTGGGACAGCAGAGAGGGCTCACGGACCTATGGGTAGCAGAAGTGTAAATGTAAGCAAAAAAGTTGATCTAGCTGGTTCCATAAACCAGTAAGGCTGCCCAAGGCTCAAGATAGTGCAGTTGGGTCAGCTGCTAACTTTGTTAAGCAAAAGGGTTGAGTCTAGGTTTTATTATGAAATAGCCCTATCTTTTCAGCTATAAAAATTGCTTTTGTTTTATTGATTTAAAAAATTTCACATTTATAGAAACATTACAAGAAAGATAAAAATAACTCTTGTATACTCATCACCTAGACATAACAGTTAACATTTGATCTCTATACATCATTATTTTTCCTGAACCCTTTGAGAGTTTGCAGACATTTGTGCTCCTTGACCGTTGAACACTTAAGTGTGTATGCACCCTGAGAACCAAGGATATTATCTTAAATAACCACCATGTAACAATCAAATTCAGGAAATGTAATTCAGTCCATGTTCAAATGCTGCTGACTATCCCAGTGATAACTTTTATAGCAATTATTTTTCATACTTCAGAATAATTATCATAGCTCCCTAGTCTCCTTTAATCTGGCACAGTTTCTTGGCCTTTCTTTGTCTTCAATGACCTTGACATATTTTTTTTTTTTTTTGTGGTTTTTATTTTTATTTATTTTTTTAGATTCTCTTTTTTTTTTTTTTTTTTTTTTTAATATTTTATTGATTTTTTACAGAGAGGAAGGGAGAGAGATAGAGCTGGAAACATCGATGAGAGAGAAACATCGACCAGCTGCCTCCTGCACACCCCCCACCGGGGATATGCCCGCAACCAATGCACATGCCCCTGACCGGAATTGAACCTGGGACCTTTCAGTCCGCAGACCGACACTCTACCACTGAGCCAAACCGGTTTCGGCTGACCTTGACATATTTGAAGTTTAGAGACCTTTTGAAGTTTGTAGACTGTCCTTAGTTTACACTTATCTTATGTTTCTTCCTGATTAAATTCAGATTATGCATTTATGCATTTTTGGTAAGAACACTGTAAAGTGATGTTGCATTTGCAGTGTCTTATCAGGAGTTCCTAGTGTTGGTGATATTAACTTTTTAAATACATTTTTATTGATTTCAAAGAGGAAGGGAGACGAGGAGAGAGAGAGAGAAACATTGCGGATGAAAGAGTATCACTGATTGGCTGCCTCCTGCAGACCCCCTACTGGGGATCACGCTCACAACCAGGGCATGTGCCCTTGACTGGAATCAAACCTGGGACCCTTCAGTCACAGGCAGACTCTATCCACAGAGCCAAACCAGCTAGGACTTTATTGATTTTTGGAGAGAGTGGAAGGGAAGGGGAGAGACGAAGAGAGAAACATCGATGTGGGAGAGACATTGATTGGTTGCTTCCAGCACGCACCTGACCAGAGGACCAGGGATTGAGCCTGCAACTGAGGTACATGTATCCTGGGCCAGAATCGAACCTGGGACCCTTCACTCCATGGCTGACACTATGCACTGAGTCAAACCGGCTAGTTCTTCCTTGAAGTATTTTAAGGAGAGACATAATGAACATCCTGGAATCTTGCCCTTACCTGAGCTGAGATTTCTCTTTCCTCAGCACCTTATGTGTTTCATGGTGCACTCTGGCATTCGTACATCCGTTTGTCCGCCCTGCTGGACTTTGAAGTGAACATCTGTTTCATTTTCATGACCCCAGTCTTTCCCTTTGCTGAACTAACTGGCCCAGATTCAGTGTTAGTACAGGTTTGATTCTCTGACTTTCCAAGAAGATGGTGGCTTTTTTTTTTTTATACAGCTGGTAGTGAGTGATCTTTGGGAGGTGAAGGTTGGAGTGGGTTCAGGCCTGGTTTCGTCTCATACTCTCTCTCCTCCAGGATCCGGCTGCGGAAGCCAAGATGAAGGTGGCTTGCATTACAGAGCAGGTCTTGACCCTGGTCAATAAGAGACTAGGTCTCTACCGTCACTTTGACGAGACTGTCAATAGGTTTAAGCAGTCCCGGGATATGTCCATCCTCAACAGCGGCAAGAAGAACCTGGAGATGGAACACAAAGCCTTGACCAGTGAGATTGCACTGCTGCAGTCCAGGCTGAAGACGGAGGGCTCTGACCTGTGCGATAAGGTGAGTGTTTGTCAGCACTAAGTCGCTTGGCTCGTTGCTAGATAGTTGTATCCCACTAACTAAAGCATCATATGGTGGCCCTGTCTGGGTCAGTCACCAGGCACTCTTGCTCACTGCTGGCTTGTAGTGTGATTCTCACCCAGTGGCATCCTTGTGGTGGGACAGGAAGTTTCGGTGTCTTGGATCTGAGCTGTGTGTGGAGAAAGCTCTGCTGGATTACATAGCACTGTCTATCCTCACGGCCAGTACTGACAGCAGCTGCTTCCTCCTTGGAAGCCAGACTGAACCGCGTGAGGAGAACCAAGCTTAGAAGAAGGGGTTAAGTCCAGGCTCTGATTCAGACTTCGTAAACCTAGGCATGTTATCTCAAAACGAATGCTATTAGTATTACCTCATAGTGGTTGTGAATGTAAAGTAAGTTTGACATGCTTGATGTAAAGGGCTGAGAATCCTGCCTGGGATGTGCTGTGTGAGTTCTTGTGGCTTATAAAGGAGGATGGGAACCTCCCCTCCCCCTGGAGGTATCCTTTAGAGTTCCTGACCACACGCTCCATGTGCCTCGCCCGAGCATTCTCCTTATCCTGTGCTGTCTTCTTTATAGCATCTACCATTTTCTGAAACTTTATTTATGTCTTAAGTATTTATAATATGTCAGCTTCTTGTGGGGCAGATGCCTTATCTGTCTTTAGTGCTTTTTCCAGAACCTAGAATCATGCCTAGCACTATGGCTCACTAAATATTTGTTGAATGTTGAGTGAATGTGGCTATAAAAGTGCTCAGACTGACATCGAGTTGGTGATAACATGGGAGTCATTCAGACCTAATACTACACCCCTGCCAGTAGTCCTTTACCTATGTGAATTTCTGCACCTAATTTGATAAGCCAAAGGGAAGAGAATAAATGTTCCTTGAGTACCTATTGTGTGCCTGGCACCGTGTTTAAGTGATTTTTACATATTTTCCCATTTATTTCTTGCAATTCTCTTCTGCAGCTAAGGCCCAGGGATGATGAAGGGTTTTGTTCACAAAGGTCAGAGCTTAAAGGAACAGGGTTGCTGGGGAGTGTGAGGCTGGCATTTGAGCCAGCCTATCTCCCTTCATAGCCAGCCCCTGTGGCCTGGGAGTTCTGGGATCTGCAGGAACGGGAGGCGGTGGGCCTTTCTAATGAGGGTGAGGGGACCACTCTCTAACCCTGCCCTGCTCTCGCCTTGGCCAGGTGAGCGAAATGCAGAAGCTGGATGCACAGGTGAAGGAGCTGGTGCTGAAGTCGGCAGTGGAAGCTGATCGGCTGGTGGTTGGCAAGCTCAAGAAAGACACTTATATCGAGAACGAAAAGCTCATCTCAGGAAAGCGACAGGAGCTGGTCACCAAGATTGACCACATCATGGATGCTCTGTAGGTTCTGCCAGTTGTCTGCTGGGTGGGCCCAGGGTGCTGCACTTACAGATGGCAGGTGTGTGTGTGTATGTGTGGGTGGGGGGGTGAACTTTGAGGCCAGTGAATGCTGGCATCTATTTTATAAAAGGCCTTCAAGGAAGAGAAGCCAAGCCTTGCCTTAGACAAAATAAGAAGCCTAATTTTTTCCCCTAAACTGTTACTTTAAAAACAAACAACTAAACACACACACACACACCAAAAACTTAAATTCCATTAAAAATAAAATATCTTTGTGTTTTTGAACAAATAAATTTTTAATATTTGATTGGTTTTGTTTTATTCTAAAGCCTACGATATTCTTTTAAGCCTGTAAGCTCCTTGTTTTATGCCCTTATATTCCTGATGTTTGAGTATTTTGCAAGTGTATGCATGTTTTTTAAAATGTGCGAACAGAATAAAATAAAACAGGGACTGTGAAACGTTTGTTTTGTCCTGTTGACAATCTCTCATAACTTAATAATGCTTTTATCAAGTGATTTTTATTCATTAAATAATGGACTTACTCCTTAGAGCAAGTGTGCATACAAGTATCTATCTATACATATAAAAGGCAAGGTGACCGACCTTTGACTGACTGACTGACTACCTAGTGCATATGATGTGCACTGGCAATTTAAAAATAAGTGCTGACTTATTTTACCTGCACGATACATGTAAAGCTCTTGCTGATGACAATCACAAAGGTCAGATGTAAAGGGCTGAGAATTTTTTTTTTAAAATATATTTTATTGATTTTTCTTACAGAGAGGAAGGGAGAAAGATAGAGAGCTAGAAACGTTGATGAGAGAGAAACATCAACCAGCTGCCTCTTGCACACCACCTACCGGGGATGTGCCTGCAACCAATGTACATGCCCTTGACCGGAGTCGAACCTGGGACCTTTCAGTCCGCAGACCAATGCTCTACCGCTGAGCCAAACCAGCTTCGGCTGAGAATGTTGTTTTGATCTGTCATTGTCAATTGTGAATTGGGTTGTTTTTTGGTTGACATTCAATGTGAACCACATTGCAATTTATTCATCGACCATCCGACCAAGAAGAGACCAGTACATATGCGCACTGGCAATTTAAAAATAAAGTAGTGGCCACTTGGAGCACACCATTGTGCGATACATACAAAGCTCTCACTGGTGCCAATCGCATGTGTGTTTTAATTTTATAATACTACTAGAGGCCTGGTGCCTGAAATTTGTGCAGGGGCCTTGACCCCCACTGCCACTGCGGTTGCCTCCACCACGGCCCCTGCCTGCTGTGGCTTTGTCCAGAAGGAAGGACGTCTGGTCTAATTAGCATATTATGCTTTTATTATAGATTATTATGGATATTACATATTTTGACATGTGATTTTTTTGCAGTAACAAAATTACCGCACGAATTTTATCATTTTCCATTCAATGTTCATGAATCTGCACCAGGTTAATGGTTATGTATTAGAACACTGAGGCCACAAAGGTGATTTGGCTTCATAAGATGCAGAATAGCCCCGGCCGGTTTGGCTCAGTGGATAGAGCGTCGGCCTGCGGACTGAAGGGTCCTGGGTTCGATTTCAGTCAACGGCATGTACCTTTGTTGCGACCACATCCCCATGGGTGTGCAGGAGTTTGCTGATCGATGTTTCTCTCATTGATGTTTCTAACTATCCCTCTCCCTTTCTCTCTGTGAAAAATCAATAAAATGTATTTTTAAAAAAGTTTACAGAACAGAGTGGAGGAAGTGAGGGCTCTGTTCTTACAGTTTTTGATTACCTATTCTTCATCACATGCTCTGCTAGGCACTAAAGAAATGATGAATAGCCGAAACTGGTTTGATTCAGTGGATAGAGCATTGGCCTGCGGACTGAAGGGTCCCGGGTTCGATTCCGATCAAGGGCATGTACCAGTAGGGGGTGTGCAAGAGGCAGCTGATCGATGATTCTCTCTCATCAATATTTCTAGCTCTCTATCCCTCTCTCTTCCTTTGTAAAGAATCAATAAAATATATTTTTAAAAAAATGATGAACAAAGCAGAATGATTCTATGGAAGACATAGTAAAATGATCAAACACAAATTCATAATTACAAACAAAACCTGTGAGGAAAGGGGCAAGGTCCTCTGATGTTATATACTGGATAGTACTGGATACTTAATCTGCAAGGGAGCTGGGGAAAGATCCATTGAAGGAAGTGACTTTGTACAATAAAATGAAGCAGTGTTATACTAGCCACTTGGTAGGATGGCTTTAAGGATCACATGAGGTAATTATAAAGTGGCATATTGCAACTGCTTGTTAAGAATCAGCAATTGTTTCCATTTTCTCTCATTTTATCTCTTTCCATTTCTCCAACCAGTCTCTGGCCTGAGCCTGAGTCTTTGGGGTATCCTGTCCTCAAGGGCTGGAAACGAGGCTGCACTTGACCAGTGTTTACATGGCGTTCTCCTTATAGGCCTGGCACACTCACACCTAGTTTCTGGTGCCCCTAGGTAGGACCAAGCCAGGCTTCCCCCTGTTCCCCTAGAATTGCCCAACTGACTGGCCCAGCAGCCCTGCAGCTCTAAGGAGACCCAGGTGCAGTATTTGCTTTAGGGCTGGGGCCCTGGTCACCCTGGCCAGGCACCCCCTCGGCCCATTGGCTAGTTACTTCACCAGCCTGGAAGAGAAAGGAAAGTTGGCAAGGGTTCGTGCTGGTGGGCCTCCTGCAGGCCTGGGCAGGGAGCTGCACTGTGCCCTCATGTCTCTCAACCCTGTGGACACGTCACTGAAGTGAGGCCAAGTGTGAAGGTGCAGATGGCCAGCTGGGCTAGAAGAGCGGCGCATGTGCGATGCTGCAGCTGTGTTAAAGGCAGGATTAGGTGCTCTGGCTGTGGCACCACCTAAGGGTGCAGGTCTGGGAACTGCCACCCCCACCTAGACTAGAACTGGGTCTGCGGTCAACGTGGGAGCTGGGCTGCAGCACAGATGTCTGCGATGGGGACTTGGGCTCCCCGATTCCAAGTCCCCGATTCCCTGTGCTGGCTGTGGGCTAGCTGGATGGCACCCAGTCCGTGGCTCACCCAGTGCCCTGGGCTGGGGGCTACAGTGAAGCATCCCGCGCCCAGCTTCTCCCCCAGCCTCCTCTCATCCTTAGCTCTAGTTGTAGCATCTTTGGCCATGGGTAATCCTGCACCTCCCTAATCCTTGATTTCTCAGTGGCAAACGTGGCCTCAGTAACTCCTAGGGTAGGGGTGAAGTGAGGCCCTGTGTATAAACCCTTGACCAAGGCAAAGTGAGGTGTCCCAGATACCTGACACCTCTTATTTGGTCTCAGACCCAGTCTACCCTATCTGTGGCTCTAATATGGTGTGTGCCTGGAGAGGAGCACTTTCCCATCTCCCCAGGGTTCATACCCCCAGGCCAGACCCATCTGTCCAGCCTTGACCAAAATGCCCAATCCCAGTGGCCTGACCCCAGCATCCATCATGGCCGCAGCTTTCAAGTGCCCCTGTAGCAATAGGTGGTAGTTCAGCAGGCCCCTGGCCTGGAGCAGCTGTCTGCAGCCCTGTTCCTGGCTTAGAAGGGGGGAAAACACAGCTGAAGAAGGAGGGCTGGGTGTCACTTTTCCTCCTCCATTTGTCTTGGAGGCTGACACGGGAGAAAACCCCAAAGGGCTGAATGCACCCTCACAGTTTCACCACAAGTATCCTGACCGGGCATCTGGTGCCGAGCTGATAGTGCAGGCCCCGGCCGCAGCCCTGCGGAAACCATGCTGCCAGCAGTTGGGGGCGGCAGGCTCAGACAGGAAACGCCCCCGGCGAACCCCAGGGCCCATGGCCTCGGCACAGGCTTGCTGCCCTGGACTTAGGCCTGGCGCCATTTTGAAGTTGGGCTGGATTCTGGGGCTCTGGCCTGGGTATCTGGGAACTGGTCTGTTAGCTGTCTGCACAGGCTTGGGAAGTGACAGGGAGGGAAGATGGGACCTCCAGACTGGACTAGCCAAGAACCAGAGTGGAGTGGAGCCTCTCCCCTACCATCGCCATGCCTTCATGGTGCCCCCAACCACGCCCTTTAAATCCTCAGTTTCCATCTAGTGGCTGGTTCCATATTTACCATAGCAGGCCCTGAACTAAACGCAGGGAGCACAGAAATAAACAAAATAGGTATTGGGAAAAGCAGACAGAATTAGGAATATTCAAAGGGTCTTTAGATTTACTTGTGGGTGATGATGGGGAGGGAAGAGTCTTGATTCTGGCCCCCTTTTTTGTCTTTCATTCAGAGATGGAATCCGAAAAGATTTGTTTTAGGACGAGAAAGATAGCCAATTCAAATTCTGTTGGGAAGTGAGGAGGGTATAGGGAGGGAAAAGGTTATGGATCTGGGTGAGAAGGGTCCAGTTGAGAGTCCTGGGATGGGATTGAAGGGAGGAATTTCAAGGATGATCTCTGAGCACCTGCAGGAAACTGGCAGAGAATCTACAAGCCTCCTGGGTGGCCTTCCCTAATCCTCTGGGGGTTCCTACCTTACACTATTTTGCTCTGCTCTTTGAAGTACTGCCTTCCTAGAGTGGGAGCTCACTCAGCGGAGTTAAGGAGGCAGCATATCAATGCCTGTGATTCATTTAAGAAATATCTTCACTATGTATCAGGCACTGAGTTACAGTAAGTGCTGTAAGTGGGACAAAGTCTTGTGTGATTTTTATTTTATTTTTAAATTTCTTTATTGATTAAGGTATCACATATTTGTCCTCATCCCCCCCAACTTGTGTGATTTTTAGAAAGATAAGAAACTAGAAAATAAGTTCTTGCAGGTAGAGATGAATACTATAAAAGAAATAAAATAGGGTGATGTGATCAATGGATTTAGTCTGAAGGATTGGGAGACATCCTTGGGAAGAGAAAGCTCGGAAGGAGGACAGCACAGCAGAGTTTTGGCTATAAAGGTGAGTGAATGGCTGAAACCAGCTTGGCTCAGTGGTAGAGCGTCGGTCTGCAGACTGAAAGGTCCCAGGTTCGATTCTGGTCAAGGGCATGTACATTGGTTGCGGACACATCCCTGGTGGGGGGTGTGCAAGAGGCAGCTGGTCGATGTTTCTCTCTCATCGATGTTTCTGGCTCTCTATCTCTCTCTCCCTTCCTCTATGTAAAAAATCAATAAAATATATTAAAAAAAATTAAATAAATAAAGGTGAGTGAATGCTGTTCTTTCCCTCTGGTCTCTTCCCTGTCCTGCCCCCTTCAGGCCCTGGTGGCTGCAAGTCAGGTTTCATGGCACACCTTCTCTCCAGGGTGGCCCCATCTTCCCCTCCCCAGGCCTGGCCCTGGCACCCTCATGGCTTCTGACTGGGTGTGCCACCCACTCGAGACTCATGCTTCACACTGCTCGCCTGGAACTGGGGGGAATATGATCTGAGGCCTGAAATAACTCATTAGTAGGATGCAAGTAAAGTCTTCCAACGGTGCTGGCTCAAGAAA